AGAAAGTATAAAAATGAGGGTCATCTAATGGTTTTAGCCCTAAGCACAACAGGAAGTACAATCGCAATCATGCGGTAAGGCATTTCCATGGCAACTGATAACATTTTCTGTTAAGCTGGAATTAATTTTAGGCTATAATCTGCCTAAGGACACAGAACACATAAGGATGCAGCAAGATAGATAGTGTCATACATTGAAAAAGGAAATGGTTGAACTGTGGGTATAACAGGATTGGGAAGGAGCAAGAGCAGGACTTGGCGTAAGAAATTCCTGTCCCGGTGTGTTGTGTCACCGGCAGGAGATGCTCCCTGCCCTCCATTACCGCCGGATCTCACTATGTGGGTTTCCCTGTAATGGACCTGGTAAATAATGCAGGTGTGAGCAGTCTGCATTGCTTCTCTTGTCCTGGTCCCGTAACTGTATCACAGGTCTCTCCCAGCTTAGGATCAAAAACTGTTAGTTAACTGCCGTACCGGACAAGCTGCCTCCATGATTGCCAGGGCCCTGACCAGCCCCCTAGGCCTTCCCTCCACCCTTGTCAATGGCCCAGGATGCCCCTCCAGCACAAACCAGTGACAAACCCCATCCCAGCAACACTGCAGGTTGTTAGTTTTCATTTTTTGCCCAGCCTTGCCCAGCCTGGCCATGGGCTCTGACGATCCAGGCCCACCAGTGGGCCAACATCGCAGCCCATCCTCAGCCCGGCCCTTTCCCCACAGCCCTGCCTGGCCACCCCTGGACATGACTGAGGTGCAGATTGACTTTCGGGCTTGAACTCATCCAGCCTCATCACCGTGAGCCTGCTTAATGACCTGCAGGGGTGATTGAACCTGCCGAGTGTCTCCCAGGCCCTGACAGAGCTGCTGGCCCTCACTGCGCCCTGGCACAAGTGTCCGCAGTGCTAGGATACCTGGGTTCTGCTGCAAGTCCTAGCACCCCAACCCACCCCAACTACACCCCAGCCCACCCACAGCCTCCTGCACCCTAATAGATCCTGTTGCTGTCAGCCCGAGCTACAGATCAGGCAGCAGTGGGGCAGTCCGAAGGGAATGTTGAACTGGGCCAACAGCAGTCCTCCTGTCAATTTATGTGTCGTGGAAAAGTGTTACTGCTTGACAGCTGGATCTGTTGGTTTCCCACAACTGAAAACTACAGTTTTTCATCTTCAGCTCCTTCGTGAGGAACGAGCGGCACTGAATAGGTCTGTCAGTCGAGCTGGCCCAAGGCCTAGGCGAACATGAGAGAAAAGCGGCCCTCACCAGCGGTTCGTTTTGATTAACTAGCTTCTCGGAGTGTTGTATTAACTTGCATCTAGTCAGGATCTAGTCATGAGCTCCCAGTGCACAGGGATAATGGCCATTGGTTCATCAGAGAGGCTGTCCCCAGCTATATAGAGAGACTTCCCAGTTATATAGACAGGTTATCACGCTGGTTATGAGGCAGGTGTGAGGTGCCAGCATCAGCCCTCAGGTGGGGAAGTTGTACCTACAGTGGCTCCCAGCACTTAGGAAGCGCTCAGTTTTCAGGACTGGGGTGAGTGGCATCGGGCTAGCCCAGGAGTCAATGACAGTGCTTTGGCTCAGGCCAGATCCTCCCCTCCTCTCAGTGACTCTCACTCAGTAGGCACAAGTGGCACAGCTCCAGCGTCTCCACCAAGAGCGTGTTCTGCAGCTTTTAATGCAGGCAAAATATGGAGAGGAACACAGTCACAGCCAACAGAAATTATTCTTACCTGTATGAGGCATGGCTTCAAGTGGAGCACTCCACTGAGTGAATACAGGTTCCCCCTTCCTTTCTTCCCCAAACCAGCTTGTTTCTGAAGGCCTCGCGGCCTCCCAGCTGCCTGGCCCCCTCTCCTCCCTGCCCCCAGCTCCCTGCCTCACAACCCCACTGAACCCCTTCTCTCCCTCCTCCTGCAGGCCATGGATTTCGCATCCTTTCTCGTCAAACTTGCGCTAAGTTTCCTCCAGGATGTGCCGATGGTCAGTGATGAGCTGGATGAGGCCACGCGCGAGCTCATGCAGCAGCGTGCGGTGCAGCTGTGCCAGGAGATGACTCGGCTGCTGCAGGAGCTGGTGCAGAGCACGCTGGAGCAGAGCGGCTTTGCCTGGGGAGCCCAGCTCTTCACTGCCTTGCAGCAGTGGCAGTTCTGGGCCATTGCTGGAGTCCTGCTCCTGCTCTTCGGGCTCTTCTGGCATCTCAGGAGGAGAAGGAGCCGTGTGGTGGACAGCAGCAGCAGTGAAAAGGAGAGTTCCAGCAGCAGCAGCAACAAGAAGAGGAAGAAGGAGGAAGGAAAGGGAGAAGGTGCCACTGGTGACAGCGATCCATACAGGGTTTCTGTAGAACGCATCCAGTTGAAGCTGCAGAAGGTGGCCTACTGGGGCTCGGTATTAGATGATCTGTTGGCCAACCTCCTCCGTACGGTCCCAGAGCACGATTGAAAGAGTTTCTTCCCACTGCTGCAGCCAGCCATCGGGGTCCCGCGCAGCAGCCCTCGAAGGCTGCAGTGCCCCTGAGGATGAGGATGCTGTCTACCGCGTGCTGGTGCCCCTGCAGCCCCCCCATGGGCACGCCTTCCACCTGGAGCTGAGCCTCATGTCACATGACATGGGCTATCGGCCAATCCGGGCCCAGCCCTCCAGCTGTGCTCCCCCCGCCCCCGCACACAGGTGAGGGCTCTAGGACCCAGAGAGCCCCTGGGGTCTCAGGGGGCTGCAGCACTCCTCCTGCTGCCAAAATGAACAGGAAAACGCTGTTCCAGCCCAAACCAGGACAATGCCGAGTGGAGCAGCTGGTGGACCAGAACACGTTGTGCTTCCTTCACCACCCTGCGGAGGAGCTGAGGAGGAACCAGGACCCCAGTCTTCTCAGCACCCTCTGCACTGGCTCCTCCTACATATGCAGGCCCCTACCTGCGCTCCTGCCTGCAGGTTTCTTTCTTCTGAAACACCTCAACTACTTCCTCTTTGGCAAGGAGAACATGTCCGAGGAGATAATCTTGCCCCCAGTCTTCCAAACTGCCAAGTGCCTTTCCTCCACAGCAGCAGCACACTCTGGGGAGTCTGACCCGAGGCAGCTGAAGAGGCCGTTGCAAGGAGGCTTGTGACAGAGACTCCTCTTACTGCCCGGACGGACAGTGACTGCCCTCCCTCTTTGAGAGGAGACTCCATTGCCGCTGGGAGCTTTACTCTGTTTTCTGTTGACAATAAATGTCATGTTTGAACAAATGCTGCATGATCTGTGAGTGTCTGTGCATCACGTGGTTGGGGTCAGCGCGGGCATAGGGTGCTGAGAGCTCCGCTGCCACAGAGTCAGGGAGCATTTTGCAGAAGAGCTCATGCGGTTGGGCTCTGCAAAGCGCTGATTCTGTAAGTAAGGCTCCCCGACCTCTCCGTGCAATGGGCATCATTTGTCACCCTCCACAGCTGTGTGCATTGCCTGTGTGCCGTAGGGAGCCTGAGGTGGCTTCCTTGGGAGCCGTACGCAAACCAAGGCCTTGGAGCCCAACAGCATTGCCCTTGGGTGACCCCAGGGAGGTGGGTACCACGCTGTGCGAGTGGGAGCCCTCTGCAGAGGGGACAGTTGCCACGACTGCGGAGCGGGGCTCTGGCTGCTCTGGCTGCTGTACAAGCACGAGGCTCATTCCTCATGGTGGCAGGTTGTCCTGGGTTTGAGTGAGTGGTGGGGCTGTTTGAGAGCAGGGGAGGGGGCTACAGCAGACCCCCACTGTGAGACGATTCTCGAAGCTCCCCCGGCTCCAATTCAGCCCAATCTCTGCACCAAGGCTAGCCAAGCAGCTGCACCTCTGCAATAAGTAACGTATTTAAGAAGGGACTTGTGAGGAGCAGTTGCGGCAACTGCATGAACACCAAGGTCAGTGGAGGAACGGAGGAAGAAAGGAGTGGGGAGGTGTGCCAGAGCAGAGACCCTCCTATATCCTGTGATGAGAGGGCAGGACGGCCCCCCCCCCCCGGCCAACCATGAAGGTCTACAGTGGAGCAGACAGTCATTTATGGCCTTTGAGGGGCTCCGCATAGATGACTAAGGTGACTGTGCCCAAAGAAGGCCAGGATCCTGTGGGAGAAGGTAGCCCCCGCTGTTGTAGTTCAGCGCAGGAAGAACTGCTGCATGCGGGAGTGTCCCACGCCACAGCAGCATGAGGAAAGCTGTGGCCTATCGGAGGAATTCACGTCAGAAAAATTTTGTGGAGGACTGTCTCTTGTAAGAGGGGGACCACGCTGGAGCAGAGGGAAGAAATTCTAGAAGCTCCCCCACCGAAGATGGAAGAAGCAGCAGCAATGACTGCACAGCACTGACGGCACCCCCCATTCCCTGACCATTCGCTGCTGCGGGGAGGAGGTAGAGATATTGGGAGCGCGGGGAGAAGGGAGGGGCTGGGGGAAGGTGTTCTCAAGATGTGGCAACGCTTCTCACTGTCCTACTCTGTTAAGTGTTGTTGGTGTTGTCTGTAACAAATCTATGTTCTTTTTATTTCTTCCCCTAAGGACTCTGCCCTTGCCCGTGACCATAATGGGTGATTTTCCCCTCCCTGTCCCATCTTGATCCCCAAGCCTGGCTTCTTTTTCTCTTCTCCTGGCTGAGAGGGAAGGTAGGAGTCAGCGGCTGCGTGGTGCTCAGTCGCCCTCAGAGATCAAACCACAACACAGGTGCACCCACCCTGACCAAGATGGGGCTTCCTGGTTCTTGAGGCACAGCGGATGCCGATTCCTTTTTCACGCCCTTTTTGCAGTACTTGGGGCCCTCCGCCAATGGGAGCTGGCATTGACCACAGATCAGATTTGACCTGGGTATAAATGGAGTCCCTTGTGAGGGCCCATTTTAAGCTAGTCCCCCCTGGAGCAGCATGTTGCCGTTGAGGTTTTGGATTGCCTTTAAATCCTGGGAATTTTTCTAACTGAAGTTCAGTACAAGTTGGGGGTTCTTCCTCTCAAGGACTTTTGGACCTGCCATTTATGAATAATTGCTGGAGTGCCAATCGATTGCATCCACAATAAAATTTATTTTATATATTGCATGTTTATTTCAAAAACACCACAACAGTGTGCCAGACACAGAGAACGCACTGCTCATTCCCCACAGCTTCTTGTGAACTGCAAGCTCAGGTTCCCACAGCCTTCATGAGGGAGACTGTTTAGCACGTGCAGCAAGGTTAACAAAAGCTTTTGAGATGGCTCCAATTCAAGGCCTGCCCTTGTGCAGGTGTTGCGGAAAGTCTCCAACCAACAAATTATAAAAAAATAAAATTTATTTTTATACACAACTATTCAACACTCTGCAAACATACAAAGAGAAGGTTCGAATGACCGTCAGAGGAGAACAAACTATCACCACACAAACTTCTGGGGTTTAACGACAACCCAGAATGCTATCCTGGGTTTAACCTCAACCCAGAACGTTAGCAGGGGTTTGACACCAACCAAAATCACTCAACCACTCACCTAGTAAAAGGCAAGGACTCTCAACCTCGAGGAACATCTTAGGGCAGCGTCCCAATCCAAGGAGCCCCGAGGAGTTTCCTTCTGCGGCGTCCCAACCCAAGGAGAGAGTCCTTACCTGCAGCCCGTGGCTCCAGTCAAGGCTAGCTGAAAATGGCTCCCCACGGGGACTCCATTTACACCCCAGCCAAATCTGACCTGTGGGCAATACCAGCCCCTATTTGCCGAGGTCTCCAAGTACAGCAAAGCCCTGAGAACAAGGGCACAAGAAAAGCTCAACAGCCGCAAAGCCACATTTTCATGCACGTGCCACACAATCCACCCCATGACCACAATCATGATTCAGCTGGTTTCCTTGAAGTGGTGGCACAGTCACCTCTTGCCTCCAAGGTTAAAAGGGATTTCAGTCCCCGTGAGTTCTAATGCTTGTTGTGGATCATGGTTTCTAAATAATTATACAAATCAATCTCCAAACAAAACCCCCACATACTCCAACACGGACTTCACTACTTAAACTTCAGTACAATCTATTCCAACCAAAGTTAAAACTAACCATTCTAATAAGGAAGATTTGAACATATCCAATCAATCAATTAAAAAAATAACAATTGACTTCAAATCTCTCACCACTTTCTTCATTACTTAAAGTGGTACTAATACAGTCAGGTCATAAAAACACTTTCCCCACCTTAATATCACCAAGTCCAAGCACAACCTTCTAAAAGATGCCACATTCACAGAAGTATTCGCCACCATGTTGTCATCCAAGTCTCGATCGTCCATGTGGGTCACCGTCACCATCGCCCATAACAATGCTGAAGACATCCGCTTCTTCCCCCCCAAAAAGATCAACACCTAGTCCTCAGATTAAAACCTGGGCATCGAGTTAAAATTCAGAGATTATCCATCCAGCACTAATACAGTAAATTCTTCCACCTTCATCTAAATCCTCCCAGACATGTAACCCTCTAGGTTTTACGAGGGTCACAGGCACAATGCCGATTGAAGATAACATTATCATAACAACTTGGCCTACACATATCTTCAGTGGGAACCAGCCCTTATAATTGTTAAATAATAACCAGTAACTCCCCTAGGGCACAATACTCCTCTTTTTAAGTTTCCATAATTTCCCCAATAGTTATTAACAATAAAAACCTCTTCTGATAACCATATATCTCAATTATGTCATTAGACATTGGCATGTCTCTTAATCAAACTGATAATCCACTCAACTATGCCACTAGCCTGAAGATAATATAGTATATCAAACACCCCCTTGCTGCCTTCTCTTCAGGCCTAAGACCCTAACGTTTAGAGGGTGGAATATCTAACCTATCCTTAATGAACAAATCCCAAATAATTTCAACCACTTCTTTAATATCTCTGCCAACCAGGATGTCATCTACATGCTGATAGATATATGGACAACCAACGACACTTCCACTGTATCAAGAAGTCTGGCCAAAACATTATGAGCAATAGTGGGGGAATACTTATATGCTTGTGGGAGTCAATTTAAGGTATTTTATGTCCCTTCCCAAGTAAAGGCCAACTGAGGCTTATCCTCTTCCCTTAGGGGAATCATAAAAAAACCAACACCCACGTGTTTGTTACTTCTGAAGCAGCCACCCACAAATAAGCGGCGGCCTGTATCACTGTTATCATTGATGTTATATTCAGGACAGTAGCTGTTAAAGGTGAGCTATTGCTATTCAATCTCCAGTAATCATTAGCCCCCACTGCCCGTCTCGCGGACTGGCCAAACTGGAAAATCGTAAGGGGAACATATACAATTTATAATCTCTTTTCTCAAGATCACCAATTACCTCTAAATACCCCATTTAACAACTGTGAACAATACTGAGACATGGATTACCTCAGAATATGATAATAAAAGAACAACCTGCAAAATTCTTACATAAGACACCCTTGTCCCCCTACTTCCAAAACTCCACGCTCCGCCTCTGGTAAATGTGGTATACTGAAGGCACAGACTCCAGCACCTGAGAGTACCAAAATCGTTTATTGAAAGAAAATTCTATGCTTTCCAAAGAAGGGGAGGCCCCTTCTTTCCCCCAGCTGTGCCCTGTTCCCATGTAAAAATAGAATGAAGATAAGGGTCCTTTGCAGCTGGCATCCAAAAGTCTGAGCCAAGTCCTTATCTTTTGAATGAGGTGGTTTTTGTTCCCAGGAGTCACTCAATCAAGTTCACTTTAACTCCTAGTTGTCCTTGTTCTTCTTGTTCTTGTTCTGTACTGCAAAGTCTCATGCTGCCAATTCCTCTGCAGTTAACATGTTTTTCATCTTCCACCCCTCCCCCTTTTTTGTTTATGACCATTTCTTTTATAACCAGTGTGGCCATAACTCGAGCTTCTACCTTTTTAACTCTTCGAAGAGCTGACCAGAGGAATTGAAGCATTGTGACAACTAACGTGACTTGCAGTACCTAGCAAATTGGGCTAAGCCATTCTCGCCTTCCCAGTTTCGTGTTAACAGGTAACCATAACTCTGGACGCCACTGTAAAAGAAAGATGTATGTACTGTTTATCACATCAGTATGTGCTATGCATGCCTTAAACTTGGGAGAGTGTAACATCACACAAAAGGAATGACTACATAAAATAATGTGAATAGTAGGTGCGATTACAATCAAGTAAGGGTGAGTAGTGCTCATTGTAACAGAATCTTCTCTTAGCAAAGTTAAGTAAGCATTAGTATGACTATCATATAAAGATACTTGATATAGCTTCCACTGAAAAAAAGGTGAGCCAAGACGCCAAAGGTTAGTATGTGCAGGAGATAGCTGTGAATTAGTGTAAAAATAATACTGAAGAACAGACCCTGCAGATCCTCCATTATGCCATACTAAAGAATGATGAAAACTAGAAGGGTGCAGGGACTCTGAGTTTTTTATAGGAGTAATATTGTGTAACGATAGACCAGGAATGGTAACAATTGCAAAATTCACGAGTCTTGCTTTTTATTGCTACTAGACGTTGTTGTGGTTGCATCCTTAAACAAAATTCTGAATCACTGGCATTAATGAGACATATAGGAGGAAAATCTGTTACCATGGTTGTTTCATTCATTTCAAACATTTAAGTATCCGAAGCAGGAGGAAGCCATACCCCTCTGGACCATTGGGTATCATTACTACTAATTGGTGGAGAAGCATCCCATCAGGTTAACAATCGGAACACTGGAGGATCCAGAATGTGCGCCCAGCACACATTTGCATCAACCTGAACATTCCATGTTAACGTTACACATATACACAACATACACCATTGTTTTCTCATTCTTGATCCTTCATGTGTCCAGAGATACATCTTCTTCGATGTCTCTGAAAATCGTCTGAGCAGGCTTGACGCTCCTTGCTGGAATCCAATATGGACCTGAAAGAAGAGAAACGCAAGCATAACCTCGTCCCCATGTTAAAAGTGGTACAGGCCCGTCCCATTTGCCTGACTCTACATGTTTATAAAAACTTTCAAATATATCTCAGGAGTCTGAGCAAACTGAAATCGTCTTTGAGCTGCCGTTTTGTAATTCTTAATTCCAGAAAGATGTAAAAAATTAAGTGACATCACTTTATCTAGTCTCTCTTGTGGAGAAAGGAGGAGATTCCCCCTTTTTTGTTTTTCAAGCATAGTTTTTAAGAAGTGATGCATGCGCTCCACAACTGCTTGTCCTGTAGGTGAACGAGGAATGCCTGTTACATGGGTGATTCCACGGTCCTGAAAAAATAATAACAGTTTATGAGAAGTATACGCAGGTCCATTATCAGCATCTATCTGTTTAGGTACACCAACTGAGGCAAAAGATCGTAAAAAATGTCTTATTACATCTTTTGTTTTCTCACCTGAGTGCGCCGTGGTGACTACAAATCCCAAAAATGTGTCAACTGTAACATGCGCATATTTAAGTTTTCCAAAGGATGGAATATGTGTGACATCTGTTTGCCATAATTCGTTGGCTTGAAGACCATGGGGATTTGTAGCATGTAATAAAGGAAGAGGTACTAAGTGCTGACAGTCCTCACAGGCACGAATAACACATTGTGCTTGTTCCACTGTCAAAGAAAAATTTTCTCGTAAGGATTGAGCATTCTGGTGAAAAAAACTGATGGGCAATTTTTGCCTGGTCTGTTTTACAAGTAATATTTACAGCCATTGTCAATTGATCTGCAATTCAGTTTCCTTCAACCAAAGGTCCAGGTAAATTTTTGTAAGAATGAATATGTACAATAAAATAAAAATGAGTTCTTTTTCTAAGTTAAGTCTGCAAGCAAAATTAAGAATTGAAATAATTGCTTATTATCTACTTTCTTGATAAAAGCATTTTCTAAGCACATTAGAATACCCGTTACATATGCAGAATCAACTACAATATTTACAGGTTCAGCATTAAATAATTGAAACGCTCTAATTGCTGTCATAAGTTCTACAATTTGTGTTGATCCTGTAACAGAACTTACATCATGTAACCACTTATGTTCTATAGAATCAAACCATGCAACTGCTGCTTTCCCAGTTTTTCTGGAGCCATCAATAAAAACCATTCGAGCTGCAGGGATAGGTGAGGATGCTAAAAGAGAATGAGGCTGTAAAGGTAAAAACTGTAGAGATTGTAACAATCTGTGTTTAGACAAGTGGTATTTGACAATATTCAGAAAATTGGACGTTGCAGTCTGAAAAGACACTCTCTAACCAAGGTAGCAAAATCATACTTAGTTGTAGGTAAATTACTATAGTGAGGATCGTTTCCAGTTAATTGTTGACAACAATGTCACCCAGAAGTAATTAACTGAGATAGCATTGCAATTGCTGTTGTCAACGTTTCTGAAAAAGAGCGAGGAAGAAATAACCACTCTAAAATAATTAGAGATGATTTTTCATTGTACTCCTCAGAGTTCCACTGTCCAAGTAAAGCATATGGTTGAAACCTATGATAGATGACAAATAGCCTAACAGGTAAATTCAAATGTATTCAATTTGCAAATGTTGTATTAATTTTTTGTATAACCTTTTGTAAAGATGACTTTGTGACATCTGTAAGTCGTCATTCTGAAGTAAGTTCAGTATCCTCTTTAAGCAAACAACATACAGAGGTGACAATTCCTGTGTGGTTATCCCTACGAAGGGACGTAACCAGTTAATAGTTCCCAGTAACTTTTGTAAATCATTCAGTGTTTGTATCGTGGGTGCAGTTCTGACAGTCTGAGGATAAACAGTAGATTCATATACTTTCCAGCCTAAATATTTCCAAGGTGCTACATTTTCTACTTTCTCTGGAGCAATTTGAAAACCATATCAACTTAATTCACGTGTTAAAGAATCAGATACAATATTCAGGTGTGTTAGTGTTTCTGTGGCAAGTAAAATGTCATCCATATAACGATATAAAATTATATCCTTATAAGTTTGTCTGACATGAGAAAGAGCTTCATTCACCACAATTTGACAAATGGTTGGATTATTTTTCATGCCCTGTGGTAAAACTACCCAGTAAAAATGTCACATTGGGCGATCATTATTTATCACAGGTAAAGAAAAAGCAAATTGATAACAATCATCATGGTGTAGGCAAATCATAAAAAAGCAATCCTTTACATCAATGACTCATAAATACCAATTCTTAGGAATCATTCTTGGACTAGGTCTCCCAGGCTGCAAAGCTCCCGTAGGTGCCATAACAGCATTAATAGCTCTTAAATCTTGCAAAAGTCTCAATTTTTGTGATTTCTTTGGAATAACAAAAATTGGAGTATTTAATGGACTAGTAGATGCAACTCTATGTCCTGCCTGTAATTGTTCCTCTCTTAACAGAGAAGCTTGCTCCTGCCATTCTCCTTTCAAAGGTCACTGATCGACCCACACAGGCTCATCTGTAAACCAAGTTAAAGTCATGGCTGGACTTCAGTGGCCCTCATTAAAATTTTGTTGACAAAGTCATACACCATTGTTGAAGTAAATCTCTACCCCACAAGGTGCACGGTACATGCAATACATAAGGTTGCAATACAGCCTGGTTTCCCTCTGGTCCTTCTATAAGTAATGAATGTTTACTTTGCCATGGTATCTGCGTTCCACCTACTCCTGTAACTGCAACGAAAGCTTGGATTAAAGGCCATTCAAGGGGCCAGTCTGCTTTTTGTATGATAGAAACATCAGCACCGGTATCCACTGACCCAGTTATTGCATGACCATTCACCATACATGTTAACATAGGTTGTCCAGTTGTAATCTTTTTTGTCCAAAAAATATTTGGCATACCAGAAGTCCCAAAACCTTTATCACCTCTCTGCTGTAAGGTAGTTCGAGTGTTACCGACTATATGGAGAAAGAAAATCAATTGTGCCAAATGTTCACCTGTCAGTATAGTACAGGGTGGGTGGGGTGACCACACCATAATTCTGATTTCTCCCGTACAGTCAGAATCAATCACTCCTAGCAGTACAAACAATCTGGCCCTAGTAGTAGAAGACCTGCCAAGTAACAGAGCATTTAATCCTTCTGGTAATGGTCCAAAAATCCCTGTTGATAATAACGATACACTGGTATCAGTTATTGTGGTTGATTGTGTTGTGGCCAAAACCAGGCTGACGCTCCTGTAGCAAAGTTGCCTTGTCCTAGCAACTCTTGTTCTCCAAATGCAGTTCCCGCAGCTATATTATCCTTAAGCCCAAACATAAAATGGAGCAGCGGATAAAATCAGTCTCAGAACAGACTTCCAACCTAATGGAGTCAAGACATAGGAGTTAGCTATAGCTTGCAACAAGTTCATTTAAAAGAAGCCTGTAGTCCATACTCCTTTATAGACTTGCTAAGTTCCTTAATAACTTCATATGGTAAATGTGCATATTCAGGAGGCCTCTGAGGTAGATAAACAACTGGCATAGCTTGTAAAAGAGAAATATCCCCCTTTTGTAATGCTTCAAAATGACATTAATCTAATAATCCTCTAGTACGCACTTCACTGCAGCCGCAAGGGGTGACTGGTACGAAGCCGGGGGGAGGGCGGGGAGACGCACAGAGAGAGGTGGTTTCAATACAAAAAGGAGCAATACAGAAGTTTGCCGTTGTCACTGTAAAATCTGATCTGCAGTTGGAGCGGAGGCTGCTAACACTTTTACTGGTGTTAACGGTGGATACAAGTCTGCCTCCTGACCTGGATTAATTTGCCCTGTATCTAAAGGATCATTCATCCCCGAATTTTCATCTTTTGGCAACTCAGCAGACACCTCTGCATTTTCATGGGTAGAATCGGAGTCTATTAATTTGAATGACTGAGATTCTTTTCTGACCTTTACATTCTCATTTCTCTCAGGTTCTTTTGATTCCGCAGCAGCATTCTTATCGGAGGACCCTTGCAAAACTTCTTCTGCAGGCATTAATGTTTTTAAGGCGCTATAAACAACTCGCCGTGTTATCAAGATTCCTTCCGGGGTCTCCAGCTGCAAAAGCGGTTTAGCCTGAATCTCCTCGCCCACCTTGTGCCGTAAGGCTGAGTCATAAGAACCAGTCTCCGGAAACCACAGACAATGATCACTTATCCAAACAAGTAACGTTACTAACTGTAATGGGGCGACCTTAAATTGCTGTTCCCACAATATTCTTTATAAAACCTCTGCATGCAGTTTCTGTTCCTTAGTTGCTGACTGCCCCATAATGCCTTTTTATGTAGGATTTCCCGTAGCTGCTCACCTGTGTCATCCAGCGATCGGTGATGAAAACCTCTGATGAGTACTCAATATATCCTTCCCTCCGTCCAGCTCAGGAGTATACCACCGGGAATGTTCATTCTTCAATTTCCTTTTCATTCGTCATATTTCTGTTCATTTCTAAAAAAAAAAAAAAAAAAAATAATAAAAAACCAAAAACGATTCGGGCGCGTTTTGTGGTATACTGAAGGCACGGACCTCAGCACTCGAGAGTAACGAAGTCATTTATTGAAAGAAACAGTGTGATTTTATGCTTTCCAAAGAGGGGGAGGCCCGCTTCTTTCCCCCAGTGGTGCTCTGTTCCCATGTAAAAATAGAATGCAGCTGGCATTTAAAAGTCTGAGCCAAGTCCTTATGTTTTGAATGGTTTTTGTTCCCAGGACTCGCTCAAGCTCAATTGGTCCCCTTTCACAGATGCTAATCCGTGCAGTTCGATTTAACTCCTAGTTGCCCTTTGTTTTTCTTGTTCTTCTTTTGTACTGCAAAGTCTCATGCCATTAATTCCTCTGCAGTCTACATGTTTTTCGTCTTCCACAGGCAAACACCACTGTTTACCTAACAACACACCAAACTCCAATCTGTTTCCCTTATAAGGGCTTAAAGCCACCTCCACAGCTATCATCCTCTTTTACCCCTAATAACCAAAACTACGTTTGCACTGTGCAACTTTTTTCCATTACCCCCATTACACACACCTACTGTATTTATAATCTTCCTTGATAATTTAAATCCTAACTCAGAATCTTACCGCCGATTTAAAACACTAGTTTGGAGCCCTGTATCAATTAAAAATTCTAAAGTTACCTACCTGGGACCCACAAGAATATGTATATAAAGCTCCTTACCAACAAACCATTAATACAAATTCACCATGCCAAATGGGCAGCCCAAACCCCAAACAGCAACCTCTAGCTTTTAACTCTCTCAGTTCCCCTCCCGATGTCACAAAAGGGTTACATTTCCCTTCCCCAGGGAGCAGAGTCACCGGCATTTCCCCTCATTCTCGAATCTCCCCGCCAGCAATTCCACCAATTTCCAAATGTTATCGGTGGATTGCCTATCTAACATTGCTCGAGGTGCCCCCAGTACCAACACTTCCGGCCAAAGACCATTCCTCCCCAAATCCTAAAATCGATATGACCTATCCCGCAGTGCTTCAGGCTCCCTTCCAGGAGGCTGCGCGGGCTGGAGTTTCCCACTAAATTGCTGAAACTTCCGGGTTCCGGCCAGGCCAAACCCCGGGTCCGGCCGCGCGTCTCATGGGGCCCAAACCACCAGGCCGTGCGGCGCTACCGCCCACCTTCATACCTGCACAACGGGGGCGGAGAACTTCGCTAGTCACATTCAACAGCTCTTTGCACCCTTTCCCTCAGGGACTGGGCAGGTGTTTTTAGAAAATCTCGGAGCCCCGCTAAAAAGAGATCTAAGGGGGCTGGGGTCCACCAGCGAGGCAATCAGTGTTCCGTACCACCCACTCTCTTGTAACAATTCTACCCTCAAACCATCAGTTTCCAGTCGTTTCTCTAAGTTCTCTTTCTTCACCACTACAAAACAGTCTTGCACCTGAATCAAACAGGCACCTAAGATGGTGCACATATTTCCTTTACTTCCGCCATCCCAAAACTTCCATATCTCTGTTACAACTTTCTCACAACTACCATCAAATCAAACCACTTTTCCTTCACCTATTATACATCTAGGGGACAAAAGACACAACTGTACCTCTACAATAACTCCTCTATCGAAATCCTGCAGGCTATGCCAATTGTTGTGGAAACTCTCAAACCAACAAATAATAAAATGTACTTTTAAACACAATTAGTCAACACTTGGCAAACATGCAAACAGCAGGTTCAAATGTCTCTGAAAGGAGAACAAACTAGCACCACACAAACTTCTGGGGTTTAACGGCAACCCAAAACATAAGGTGCCCTTGTGGCACGGAATCACAACTTTACAACCAGTTAAGGTTATAAAGTAGGTATGTTTATTCAGCGCTGGGCACAGCGGGGAATGACTCCACCACAGACATGCACCACCTGGAGCCAAAAGGGGGTCCCTTTTATTGTATAAAAAGTAACATATTCATCTACTCTAATACATATGCATCACTACTCCAAGGATAGGGAGGGAATATTACGATTAGTTCCAAGAAATCAATAACATATCCCCCCACCCCAAATTCCTCCCGTCGCCCTTGCGCAGCGCTTCCTGGTGGTGGTGGGCAGGGGTCTTCAGATGAAGGCTCGTAGTCTTCTTCACTATGCTCCCTAGTTGACCCTTACTTCTGTGCAAACTCAGTCCTGTAGTCATGTGCACCTCATCCTTCAAGTCTGGGCTAGTTTGCAGCTCCTTTGTCTTTATGGCTCAGTGGTTTTAGTTCCTCTCTTATCTCAAGGACAAGAGATACCAGAGATGGCCCATCCTGTCTTCTTTCCATTCAATCACAAGGGAGTTACTTTGATATGGACCATCAATGGCTCATCCTGTTCTTTCTCATTCCATTGCAGAGGAGTTACCATCCTTTGATGGAGGCCATCCGGTGAGCATCCCAAGAAGGGGGGGCGGGGGGGGGGGGCTATCAGGTTAGTGTGAGCATCCCCTGAAGTTGAGTGGGATATCAGGTTAATGTTTCCTCAGATCACCCTCATCCCTCTCTTTGGGATACCTCCAGTGGAAATCTAATGACACTATATGGGTGAAAATTTGCGGGGTTTTCCATAACTGTCACATAAAAAACCCTGTCTGTGCCTGAGTGCTCAGGCAGCCCAAGGGTTGCACGGTGCCCACCAGCCCAGGGGATGCGGCTTTTCCAAGCTCTCTGAGGATGGATGTTGCCAGAACGTTCTTATTTCAACTACAGGAAGCGTCACGCTCACAGGCTCTCATCCTGCTGGGGGACTTGAACCACCCTGACATCGGCTGGAAATGCAGCACAGCAAGTGGTAAGCGATCCAGGAGACCCCTGGAGCGCACTGAGGGTAATTTCTTCATCCCGGTCCAAGCAGAGGAGAAGCATTTCCAGACCTGTCGCTTACCAACAGGGATGAAGTAATTAGACGGCTGGCAGGCTGGGCTGCAGTGATCCTGCCCTGGTGGGATTCACGGTCTCGAGGGACGTGGGCCAGCTGAAGAGTGAAGCCAAGACCCTCAATTTTAGAAGGGGGGACTTTCAGCTGTTTTTAGGAATTAGTGGATGGGGCACCCTGGGACACTGCCCTCCGGGATAAAGGAGCAGAGCAGAGCAGAGCTGGCAGCTCTTTAAGGACCTCTTTTATAGAGCACAAGACCTCTCAAAAGGCCAAACCGCTCAGCCTCATCCAGCACTCGGCACAGGATCCGGCCACCCACGCCGAGGCAATGCACAATGTCATGGAGCTGCGAGATCGCTCACAAGGCTGCTGATGTACAGACACTGAAAGAGGTCTTCACGCACAGAGCTGTGCCTGCGAGGCTTGCAGCTGATGGCAGGCAACAGCTTCATAGCGCAGGCAAAAAGAGTGGAGGCTACGGTGGCCACAAAGATGATTTTCACCCTGCTTTCCTTTCACACGGCCACGGCCAAGGTGGTGATTTCACGTGGGCTGAGAAACTCCCTGGCAGCTGCGGCTGGGCAGGGACCAAGCAAGAGGCAGTGCCGATGTGCCTCTCTGTGGTCACGGGGGTCCTGGTGGAGAATGTTCCTGTCCCAAACACGCCCCAGGGAGTTGGTACCATAGAACAGAACATACCAGACATGGGGAAGAGGGTGCTCTATCGGCAGCGGGAGCTGCCTGCTGGAAAATCTCCAACCGCCAACTTGCTCAACCGCCAACTCTCCTGGCCACCTTGAGTATTTCTCCCTTATTTTTACCAACTCTGTTGGAGTCCACGGAATAGTATGCACAGTGGTATGGACCTCCTCCTCCTCCTCAACTGCAGTTTCAGTTTTAACCAGAGGTCATAAAGGAAAGACTGGTGATTTCGAAATAGAAGTCCCTTCTGCCTCATCTACTTCGTCATCCTCACTGGTAGACCAAAAAATCAGTTCTGGGCTCTGGAATCTGAACACCACATTAACTTACATATTTGTTGGACCTGGGCCGAGGGCTGCATTTTATCGAAAAGCCCAGCCGCCCTTTCCAATAACGTTTTAAGTTGGAGATTTTCACCCGTAAGTTGAGCATTCCGGTTTCCCAAACTTTCATTTTCTTTTACAAACTTACTGAGTCCTTAGTTTTTCTTCTGTCTCCTTCTGAGAAACGAATGATAACTTCAACACCTCATTTTCTGATTTCAGAGTCGCATGTTCTACAGCAGAAATCAGATTAGGAGCAGGGCTTTCCTTAGCTTCTTTTTGTGCCCAAGGTAAACAGGCGCCTAAGACCGCACAAATCATGCGTTTGCCTTTTCCCACTCTGAGCTTTAGTGAAGTCTGACACTCTTGAGTACGTTCTACAACTTTCTCTTCATCCTTACGGAACTTTTGGGCCCGCTCCTTCCCTACCTGGGAAGGGGCACAATCATATTTTTGCAGCAGTTTATCCATGGCAATCCTGCCGACTATGCCAAATTTTCTGTCATGTGAAATGGTTAAGGCAGAAAATCTGAGAGATAACCAATTCGCCACTATCAGTCCAGCCGGGTTCGATATATTAAACTGTTACAATTCAGACACACTAATAGTGGACTGCACCTTCAGTCTAGTCGTGCTCATGAACTAGCACGGCCACTCTTTGGTCACAGTCAGTGAGAAACCGAAACGACTAGCTACTTAAATGGCACGGCTTATTTACGTGACAGATATAGAGGTACCTATGATTGCCAGTGATAAATACACTGTCTGCAAAGCACGTGCAAATAAGAGTATATATAAAGTGCGCAACAAAGTTATAACAATACAGCCAGGCTATAAAAATGGAAAAGACATTTCTAGAAAGATTTCTGTGTTCTTAAGTCTTACCCAAAGGCGTCCCTATGGGGAGGGAAAGAGAGGCTCAGCCCGTTGACTGGTCCCAGAAGTTCATACGATGGTGTCTTTCCCCACCTTCCCCAGGCTATTTTTATACTATTTTTTTACCTTCAGGGTGGAGTTTGAGTGTCTCTAGTCATAAATACCTTTCTTATGATTGTTGTAAAATTCTCTCGCCTCACATTTGAAGGTATAGATTACAAAAACTCAGGGCGCAGACTCAAAGAGGAGTGGTCACAACTTGGAGGTGGGTAGCCTTTGGGATGGAGATATGTTTTGGTATTATAACAACATTATAATGAGCAAAGTTCACACAGAGGACAG